CGGGGATTGGTATTGCGCGAATTCTGGAATCTCATTTTAAATACTATTCCAAATACTATAAGCAACTATCAGTGATTTTCCCCGGGATAAAGAGATACATGTTTTCGACCAAAAGATGTACGGTAAACTAGTGATAGGATCAACAGGAGAGTTATACCCCATCCTAAAAGAACAATACCCGGCTGCCTTTCCTTTCGTTAGCGATTAAATACAACATCGTGCTTCTATTTTTATAGTGGTGTCACATGTTACGGCCTACGGCGTTTCGACTGGTGTTATAGGTCATCAGCTCACTGTATATCCCAGTTCCTATGCTCGGACACGGTCATCGCCCCCCCCCCCCACACACACACACTTTCATGCCTTTACAGGTTGCATAAGATTGACAATGGCTACCTTCATAAACCTTGAAATAAAAATCGATTACTATGATCATTGTGTATTTTGTAACCCCTGAGCGTATATGAAATAGCCTCTCGAGGACTGAGAGGCAACCGTTCGAGAATTACGCAGTCTATTGTGTCCAAACAAGTGCGACCAAGCCAAACCACGTTGCGTCCGCGACTTAATCATTCCAACCAAGTGGGGGAGTTCCCCAATAACTTCCAACAGTACGCCCAGCGTAAATTTGGACAAAATACTGGTAAAAATGTTATCTCGGTGACCAAAGTTTTGTTGTCCGAATCGAAGGTATAATCTATTGGATCGGAGGGTGGAATTTAAAAAAAAGACGCATAACTTTCCGATTTGGTTCCCGGTGTATAAATGGGGATAGAAAGATTCAAGTTGAATTTTGTGAGTGCCTGTTACTAGAATCAGAATTTTAAGATAAATACAAGTGAGCTAGCGAATACAGAACAACCGAAAGGAATAAGAGACCGGAAATATAGGGACGGCGTATAAATCAAACCGAATGATGGAACGGACTAAACAGACAAGATAGTTAGTTATTGCATTAAATGACTGATCGCAATTCACTGGGTCAACAGAAAAGGACAAGACAGCTCAAATAGAGAGGGGCGCTATCTAAAGTTTTGCGATACCTAAAGCAGAGGGGATTCTTCGCAAGTATTCGACAGGCAGGGGCTGTTATTCAGAGGAATACCGCCTAACCCGATTTTGGATATATGTAATTCGCCATGCTCTGGCAAAAATGGTTAATCAAATGTTTACATCGCGTTCGAATTGAGTTGGCAAAACACAGTGTGGAAGATACGTTTGATTTTGTGAACAGGATTCGCGACATAAACTTGGCCGATCAAACAATGCTCCGGCTGGACGTGAACTCGTAAATTCACAAATACTTCCATCAGCAAAACAATGGAATATATGTGCAGTTATGTGGAAAGAAATAATGTAAAGCTAGTCCTTCCCTTAGATGACTTAAAAAAATTGTTATTAGTGCATGCACAATGTTCAACTCAGGTTTAGAGATGAGATCCATTGAAAAAGGATGACCTGATCATGGGGTCCCTGTTGGGATAGTTTTTGACGGTCTTATTCATTGAGAAACTCGAAAACGTCTAATAAATGATAGTGTTAGTGTAATCCACGCAACACTGAACCCAACCAAACCACTAGGAAGGTTAAACACTGCCTATCCGGATGTGAGGCGTAGGACAAAAAAGAACCTGGTGCCCGCCGGCTAGGACAAGATCTGCAGTGAGGACACATTGGAATACGAGCTCCGTTGCATAAGACTGATCTTTGCACGTTATGAGTATCCGTAACGTTCAGTGAGCAAAATGATTCAGTGCACTTTAGAAAGCAGTGTTTTATTATTATTATTATTATTATTATTATTATTATTAATTCAGCTTACGCCATTAGCAGGATAATTCAATAATCAATTGAGTTACAGCATCCTCCGACAGTATACGGACCTCATGAAGCTTTGATTTCAGCTTGTTGTATGATTTTCCCGGCATAAGTAAAACCAAATTTTACAACACCATGACTCATATACGTTGGCCTATAAGGAAGGCACTGACAAGATGTCTACCAAATATAGATCACACAGTTTAGTCCGTTGCCTTCAAACCATTCCGACAAAACTCACCCGGGCCTCCGGGTCCAGGTAGGACAATACAGTTCGAACGGGCTCCATCACGTGATTGAGGAACTGGATCCAATTCATTGTCTGCATTACGTTTGAAGACTGGAAGAGAAAAACGAGTGCAGAAATAATAGGAAGTGAAAATGCAAACAAACCGGGTTAAACAATGGCACCTCGAAGTATCTGATGAAACAAATCGTGAAGAAAAAAATTTTATGCGGGGATTGAATACAGCTAGATTTTGGCTCAAGTAAAGTTGGGTTCGCATATTCTGTTGGAATTAAGAGACGCGCATTGATGCTCCTGATGAATCAGGGTACTTTAATTATCGCAACAGAAATTGTTGTGAGATATTACAAGTCGTCCTTCGTGACACATTCAACACAATGAAAACCGGACCAAGACCATCGTAGAAAACAAAACTGTCAGCTTCATGAGATGAATGAAACCCGATAGGAGTTGTGATGTAAAGTTTTTGGTGTGTATGTTCATCTTCCCATCCTCACTTAACAACACGAGATAACCGTAACGATAGGTTCAATGGAAACGAAACAATTTGAGCAATTAGTGTACGTGTATCCAGGGTAGTCTGAGTTGATTTTGTTTGACACGAGCTATTATTGAAGATAGCAGATCACTACCAATAACAAAACTGGTCAGAATAATGGTGTCCAGAATCCGAAGGACTGTGACAGAGAGATAAACAGCTTTCAAAACGCCACGTACTTCAGGAATCCAGTGACTATGGGCGGGACAGCCAGGTTCAATAACTGGTTTCGTTGGCTCATCGATAACAGTAATCACAGTGAGCAAAGTGTGGTGGATCCACAAAGTTGGACAAGTTTGAGTGCCGCATACCAAGAGGTTTGAATTGGTTGGAACCAATACATTGTTTAACATCCTTTTCTCGCTTCATAATTGTATTAGTGGGATTCGAATGCAGATGGGTTTACCGAGGGCAAAGTAAAATGCACGAAATGCTCTGGACTCACGCGGCCTGTTCCACAATCTCACCAGAATATGCGCCCCCAGGAGCATGAAATATGACGCGCTTCTGCATCTCCACTATCACCAGNCAGGCTTGGGTGATGAAGATTTACGCACTGCTAGAGCGAAGTGGATTTAATTCCGGATAATACTAAATGTTTCAGTGCATTCATCGACTGAGTCATTAAAGATCTTCATGGGGTTTGGATACCTGAAGCGATAGTCCTCAGAACTGAAGAATTTATTCGGGCACAATGGGATTTCGAATCATTTTCATTTCGAATTTCTAGCATTCAGTGGGGAAACAGCTTTCAATACGTAAATGAAATTGAACAGTTTTGAATTTCCAAGACTCGAGTGAACATCAGACAACAAACCGTTTTAATGGGATTCGAAATAGGGCTGTGAGTGGGCCAGTCAACGCTGTCTATAAATCCGAATACCATAATCATGTACCGACTTTAGCAGAATGGATAGTGGCGTTATCTTGCCCAGAAAGCATTGATCCACATTGATCATCCGGAACTGCAGCAAGATGGTTCAAGGTTCAGGTGTTCGAGTCAATATTCTGTTTTCCTTCGAGAAAATCCAGACGGAACTTTTGTCCGTAAACCAATAGAGAGCCACCGCCGAAATCTTGGTGCTCAAATCAAGCTTGATCTTGTGCATCATACGCCAGAAGTACATCGATCAGTCGGCTCCAGCCAAGTTAGACTTCATTCAACACCGAACATAAGCGTTTATTTATATTTTCACACGTCTGAATTCAGACTGTGTCAAGCAAATCACGGCATAATAATCTTTACAGAAAGAACAAAAGGTTCATGATTTGCTTGAGGGCGAGATGCTGCTAAGTCGCTCAGACCAAAGAAGGTAAATTTCTTTATGGAATTAACTATCAGAGCCTTCGGTTAAACGGAACCTGACCCGCAAGGCAGCGGTGCGGTATGCGAAAACCGCAATATATTGGGGACCGGTGTCCAGTTCATCGGATCATGCGCCTTCTTGACAGGGTCGAACGTCTAAGGTGTCCAATGCACCTGAAAGCCAAGTCGAACTGCCGACCACTTTCACGACCAGAAAGGTATATCGTGGTTTGTATGCCTTCTCATGGTTGGTTTGGAATCAGGGCTTTTAGCCAACTCCCCTAGGTGAATTACCAGTGGTTCACCAACCAGTTATAGCCCCGGATAATGGTTTTTTATCCTCTCATTTTGGTGGGAAAACACCTTCGCCACGAGGAGGCAGCGAGTAGAACCTTCTCAACGAAAGCTATTTAAGACGCTTGGTAGCATGGAAGCATTTTACGAGGTGTAAATGAGGAGTAATTAGCCGTAAAAACCGAGACACCCACCCCGACTCTACTGAGGCTTTCGGAGGCATAAGTGTTCAATCTCATGTGACAGTTTACTCAACCGACCAGATATGGCACTAGGTCGTTCAGGGTACTCATTTATTATTCTGTGTCGTATTTGCATTGCCGCTTGCTGCACTTGGAGTACACGGTTAATACAAATTTTCAACTGCATGGACTTCTGCCACGACTTGTCATTTGGTTAGATTCAACCAGTGAAAGTTACACCGTTGATCGTCTTAGCAGTTTTCCTCCCTCCAGGAAGANCAGGAAGAGACTAGAAAATGGCTTCCAGACTGCTTCAGAGTTTACACCTAACCACTTAACAGCCCAACACTTTTTACTACGCACATTTTCATTAAGGAATGGAACCGAAAAAATGCTGAAAAATTTTGTATGCCCTCCATATATTTGTGTTTGTCTAGATATCGATAGATGGATAGATTACCGGTTTGCGAACAAGCACGATGCCTGTGCGACAACCACTGTCAGGGAGTCAGTATACTCCCGAAAAACAGCCTTGTTCTGGAAAAAAACGCATGTTGGCAATGCGGTGAGTGACATTTTGTTCGCTTCTGACCACCTAAAAATCACATCCGCCAGAATCGTCACAAACCAGGCCACAAAGAGATAAGATCGTTGACTTACCAATCAGTATTTCAGAAACGGATTACCAATGAGATCGGGACACTTCAGGCACCCTCAAACAATGTTTGGATCAAACTCTCTTTCTACCATGGCCACATTCAGAACAGATTTCTAGACCCAAAAGAAACATGAAACAATTCTGGTAAACGGCATTCCAATACGACTCCACGTGGATATGGCGTCTGATATTAGCATTATTTCACACGACATTTGGGAGACGACCGAACAACTTCGGATGATTGGACCGAACAAAGCAACCCAGAATGTGTTTGGTGGACCCCTGCTGCTCACTGCAGAAATAAGACGTGATGTGTGATTCAACACACATCAATTTGTGAGAAATGGTTACCTAACCGATTGCCCTTTGACCTCAACCTCCTCGGGATCGATTGGGGATGGTCGAAGTGTCACTGAACAATGTGTACAACAATCCTCAGACATTGAAACTGTATTCGCTACCGGATCAGCAGACCGCGAAGCTGACTTCGGCATTACAGAAGAAGTTCACTATGGCGTTTCACGATGGACTCGGATGCTTTACGAAAATGAAAGCGGATCTGTGCCTCCGTCCTGATGTCAAGCCAGCTTTCTGACCGAAACGTCTGGTGCCGTGTGCTGAGTTTGTTGCCGATTGAGGTCCCAGACGCCTCACGCGACCTGTTGACGATTAACATACATCGTGAGTTGGGTCAGTTTACTGGCTTTCCATTCGGTGTGACGTCTGCTCCGGTGATGTTGCAACGGATAACGGATACCATGCAGACAGGAATCGGAGAAGCTGCCGGTTATTTGGATGATAGCATCATCACCGGTGCTACTCCTTTCGCAAGGCCTAAAATCTGTGTTCACGTAACTCCGGGAATAAGGATTCCGCCTACACCTAGATAAATGTAATTTCCTCATGCCCTCGGACCGATACATGGGCTTTATCACTGACGGGCATGGCCGTCGACCCGACTGGAACAATTTTGACGGAATACAACATAGAACCCAACAGCAAACGTGGTCCCTTTGCGATCTCGAGTCTGATGAGCCATTACGCGTCATTTCTACCACACACCGCATCGGCAGCCCATGAACAAGTAGCTAAAGGAAAGAGCAAAATGGACACGGTCCCAGGACTGTCAAGCAGATGCTGTTTCCCGTTTGACTGACTCGTGTTACAAGAAATCCTAAGACATTGTCATCAAGTCGGCTGCAGCAGAATCCGAAGTGGAGTAGTGGTAGTGCCCTACGTGATCTGACAGTCACTGTAAAGTATATTTGCCAAGCTATACAACGCGATCCAGTGTTGAAAAAAGTCACACAGTTTTATCGTACATGCTGGCCGACAACAACTTCCGAGGAGCTCAGACAATTCGAGCGACACAAACAGCCACTGTCCGTTATCAGTGAATGTATTTTGTTTGCTGTGTGAGTCTTCGTGCCCCAATGTTTTGCAGGCAAAGGTGCTGCAACAGCCTCACATTGGGCCCTGGCTCGCAGCTACGTCTTGTGGCCCAACATCGATAAACAATTTGACGAACTATCNGAACTATCTTGCATTCACAACCTAAGCAAGGTCAAAAATCCAGTTTGTGTCCGTAGCCGGAACCGAAAGACGCTTCGAGGAGAATCCACATTGATTACGCTGGATCACTGATAGGTCATCGCTATTTTCACGGAGTGGACGCACGGAGCAAGTGGCCGGAGACGTTCCTCATGAAGAACATGAGAACTGATGCAACTAACAGCGAACTCAGAAGTCTGTTCTG